TCAAACAAGTATATAACAGTATTTATTTTCAATAATTCATAGTTTTTTCCAAACAACAAGTCAACACATAACCATTCACAAACACACTCATCACAACACATTAATAATGGTTACCTTGTGTCTTGAATAACAAGTTCCCCTTCACAACTCCTTTTTCATCACTATCTTTGTCAATATAATCTACATAATTATTTCACAATACTATATATTAATTTTACATTCAAATAAATAACTCTAATTTAAAGAATTAGAAAGTCTTAGATCTATAATCTATATTAATACTAATTTAAGATTTATGCCTCATTTAACTTCCCAAATTCTTTTTCTAAAATTCTCGTACCCTAATAAACTATTTTTTTATCCTGAAATCACTTCTAGTATCACAATTTCATCCTTCTATATTTAAAAATTCGTCCAAAAATAAATTAAAAATTTTAAAATTATCCTAAAACCTCAAATCACCTTTCTATAACCTTAAAAATACCTATTCATACTTAAATAAATATTTAATAATTAGAGGTTTATCCCTATATCTCAGATTTCACATAAATTCAACCATATAGATCTAGATTTTAACTCAAAAATTCTTAAACATGAGTTTTAACCTCAAGAAAATATTCTATAATATTTATTATATCCCTAAGAGTTTTAACCTATATTTTTAATCCATCATATCATCAGATTAACTATCCTATAAAAAAAATCCTAATCAGAATATTTACTCTATCCTACAAAATAATCATATCACTAAAAAGCTAATATTATTTAGAAAATAACTATAAAATTAATTTTGTAATTAAATAAATTTTTAAATACTAATCTAAATAGAAAAGTTAGAACATACCTGAAGAAAAAGAAAATAATCTCCCCTTGCAAGAAGACGCCGAGCAAAGTGAGAGGAAGAGAGAAAAATAATATAAAAATGGGATTGTGGGTCCCAAAATTATATTAAAAAAACTATAGGTTTGAATTTAATTATTCAAACCTTTGGGCCATTACTTGCAATTTTCACAAATTGCATCTTGGGCCCTTAGTTGCAATTTTCACAAATTGCAATAAATAATTTCTTATGCTTCCTCCACAATGCACCTCCTCTTTTTATACATGAGGAGGTGCCTTTCATTCCCACATCTAACCGATGTGGGACTAAACCCCCTTCCTTTTTTTTTACTTTCTTTTCTTTTTTTTAAAACTCTCACACACACATAATTTTTTTTTTAAAATCTTAAAATTATATCTTAACAAAATATTTCTTATATAATTTTAAATTTAAGTTTTTAAATTCATAATTAAATACCTACCCATATTATTAAAATAACCTCAAATAATATAAATTCCTATTATTATCATCATTTAAAAAAAACTTAAATTTCATAATTTTTTTATCTAAAATTTAGGATGTTACACATTGACGGTGACAAATTTATCAACCCAAACCTTCTTGGAGTCACCAATGACTAGAAGGCCTCTAGGTAGGCCAAAGAGTAAAAGAAAGGAATCTCAATTCCAAAATAAAAAGATTTATCATTGTGAAAGATGCCATGAGGTTGGTCATACCTTCGAGACTTGCAAGAATCCTAATCTATGTTAGAAAATATTATGAATAAGTGTATTTTTTTGTTTATGTATCTGAAATTTGTTTTTTGTTTATTTTTTGGTTTATTGCACTTAATGTATTAGCACTTGTCAATAACAAATGCATAAATTGTAAATGAAGTGATACCTTGTAGTCAATGACTAATGGCAAGTAGTCAACAGGTTCTTGCACTTGGTTAATTTTTGAAGGGATTAATAGCACCAAGTGGTTCAACACTTGTCAATGAAGAATTACTACCTTATCAATATAGTTATATCTACTTGTCAATAGCCAATGGTAAGTAGTCGACAGGTTCTTGCACTTGGTTAATTGTTCAAGGGAACAACAGCACCAAGTGCGTCAGACCTTATCAATGGAGAATAAGTAGCGTGTCAATATAATTATAACCACTTGTCAATCGCCAATACCAAGTAGTCAATAAGTTCTTGCACCTTGTTGATTTTTGAAAGGAATAACAGCACTTACTACCTTAGCATTTGTCAATGGCGAATTACTACCTTGTCAATATAGTTATTATTACTTGTCAATCGTCAACACCAAGTAATCAATGGGTTCTTTTAACTAGCTAATTTTCGAAGGGAATGACAGCACCTAATGCCTTAGCACTTGTCAATGGTGAATTATTACCTTGTCAATATATTTATAGACACTTGTCAATAAAGTGATAACCACTTGTTGACATTCAATTAATAAAACAAACTGTTTGCCACATTTATAAACTTGTAATCAGGTTTCATAAACAGCATTATCTAAGACTAACTATACAAAAGGATATGATGATCAATAAAATTAGATCCTAAAGTTCTATCAAAAAATTTCTATTTTCTCTTCCTCATTGCTTGGGATCCTTTTAACAAAAACATGGTTTCGAACTCCTTCACATTGTTACGATGACTCAGTAGCCACCATAAGAGTTCTACCTTCCTCTTATAGAGGTCATCCTAAGGGACAACAACAAATATATAGTATATGAAAAAGTAAAAATGTAAAGCAAAAAATGCATACATGGGAGTATTTTGGCATCGTATACCCATTCTTGTCTGCAATGTTGTTCCACGATTGTAACCATGTCATAACATGCACCCCACAACGCATGCCAATTCCAAGTCTTCAATCTCAGGATAGATACTTGGTGGAGACAAAGAGCATCCATCTAAAACTCTCAATAAATTATCAATCCTGCATTCAATGACAACATTAGAATTGTACTTTTCAACATTATTTACATTAACAAAAAAATTTACACAACTTACACATGTTGGTTTTCTAATGAGCAATCCGTTGATACTTATATGGTGTCATTCCCATTTGCAACTACATACACATGTCCACTTTGTTTGTTATACTTGATCAGATGTTCTACTCCATCATCATTAACTAGATCTACAAGTGTGCTTGCATTAACATTGACTGTGATTTTTAACTGGATTATATTGCTTTCATTTCCTATAATTGATGATATCATTCTTGTCAACTCTTCATATGTTGTCCCTTTCTTTATTGTTCTTATTCTAACACCCCCAACATATTGCATACTTCCTTGGTCATCATTTTGAAAATGCCCCCTATATAGAAAAAAACATAATATATGCTCTCCAAAAGAACTTGTCATCTTACAGGTCAACCTGCACCACACACAGTGTATTGACAACTAGAAAAGGTGTATTAACAACACATTTATCCACTATTGACAAGACGCAGTGTTGTTTAATAGCAGAGATTTTTCAACGAAACAAGCTTACCTCAGATGCTTGTGAATAATATATAAAATGTCCTATATGAAAAACATAACATAATACATGTTTTTTAGTAGTACTTGCATTCTTACTGGTTAGCCTGCACAGTACAGTGTATTGACAACTATTCATACCATATTGACATCACAACAAAACACTATTGACAACATGTAAAGATATTCATATCAAATATTTATCAACGGAACAGTGTTGCGCCAGATTATTCCATATATCAGCTGTGCAAACTAAATGATCGCAGGTTTACCCAGAAAGTATTATCCTACCCTCAAACAATAATGAAATCATTAACGCACAAGAAATCGTTTGCCCAACTAACAATGGATATATTACTGTTAATCGGTAATTTACGTAATCGTTTACGGCCAATGTAACAGCCCTCTGGGTCACCACTGCCTCTCCAGGGTCTTTTCCCAGCGCTGGACAACACACATGTCACCACATGATTGCCGGCTTTCCCACTGGTGGTACAGTGGTTATTCCTCACCCCACCCTCACGGGGGTCTTTTAGAACCTCCCCAGACTCGAACCTCCAACCTCTACCAACTTGACCCAGTGGTACCAGACTTCGCCTCAACTTCGTTAAGGTGGTAGAGGTTGGAGGTTCGAGTCTGGGGAGGTTCCAAAAGACCCCCGTGAGGGTGGGGTGAGGAATAACCACTGTACCACCAGTGGGAAAGCCGGCAATCATGTGGTGACATGTGTGTTGTCCAGCGCTGGGAAAAAACCCTGGAGAGGCAGTGGTGACCCAGAGGGCTGTTACAGCCAACAATTGTTTACTTAGAAAATTTATTTTCTGTCGATGAAATGCTGCTGTTGCAGAGAAACACTCCCAACTCACTTAGACAAAGACAAGGGCTGTAATCATGGATGTGAGGAAGTGAAGATGATCCTACCGTGATCAACAATTATGGATATTCAGCAACCTTCACCATTGCTGATCATGGGTTTCGTGAGACGCACGTGCGCAAGCAAATTTTCTTTTCAATGCTAGAGGGCAAATGAGTAATCTTACATTCAAACTTATTCACTCTTAAATTCCTAGGGACCTGGCAACTATTTCTTAAATTTATGTAACTTCAGCGTATTTTAAGTGTTTCCATAGTACCTTAGGTTGATTTTTTCTTGTTTCTTTCTCCCTTGTTTTGGTTCCTAATTTTGACGCAAGTTTTGTTCGTATATACTGGAAGTTTTAGTATCAATTAGCTTTGTATGGTACACATCGAAATGGGAATTATCAGATGAATTGTATGTTAAAGATAGATGTGGAGCGTTTTTAAATTAACGTTATAATAATCAAAGTAGGCAGATATCCCGTTTTTAAATAAAGCAAATTATATGATTCTTTTCAGGGGCTAAATTATGTGATTATATTAGTGTATCAACCATACGCAAGACCAACCTATTGAGCCCCTCAGCTGGGCAGAGACTCTGCGTTGATTAGACATCCTAAGGTCAATCATGAGTACGTCGGTAACTAGCTAAGGTTGGTGATGTCTGTGTTTGATATTTGTACCTGCCCTGTTCAGAGGTCTAAGACAATTATTGTTAATGGTGGTCCCCAACCTACTGCTTTTCCATCGATTCACCTTTCGTTGTCTTTTAGTTGTGAAAAAAAGCACACCTTCTATCTTTAATTATTGATAGATGAAGATCCATCCATTACAGTGTTTACGGCCAAGATGAAGAGAGAAAGCTCTGAAGCTGGGCAAGCAATGGGCAAGAGCCACTACATGTTCTGGGTATTGACTGCCATTATCCTTTTAGCTGTTTGGTCAATGTTCACTGGCTCCCTCACTCTCAAATGGTCCGCCCCCAGCCTTTCCCGCTTCTCCCATGAATTGGATTCTCAAACTCTCGACGATCTCGATGTGCTGGTACCTTACTATCTGACATACATATATATGCACTCTCTCTCTCTCTGTTTTTTTTTTTTAATTCCCCAGACCCCAGATAATATTATTGTGTTAAAGTTTGCTATGGACGTTTGGGAATAGGAAGTGGAGGAGAGGGAGAAGTTGGTGAAGCGCATGTGGGATGTCTACACGCAGACTAGTGCTGCAAGGTTACCTCGGTTTTGGTCAGAGGCTTTTCAAGCTGCTTACGAGCACTTGGTCAGTGATGTTCCAGGCGTCCGAGACACTGCTGTTTCTGAAATTGCTCAGATGTCATTGCGTTCTTTTGATTTAAACATCCTTCCTCTTCAATCAGAGTCGGTAAGCTAAGCTAAGCTAAATTCTTCATATCTTCTCATTGGAATCGCTGAGCTTCAATTGTTTTGTGCTTTCAGCTTTCCCATTTTTTCTCTGCGCCCTAGCTTGTTTAAAATTCGCGAGATTCTCCTCTTTCCTTGACTAATAATTCCTCACACTTGAGCCATGTCTTCTTGTATTCCATATGCCGGTTATTTCTCTTGTCATAGTTCTTGTCTTTGAAGTTCAATTTCTTTGTTGTGTTGATGAGGACGTTTATGGTAACCTAGCATGTTACCTTTTGTTGCTTGATGTGCTTTTCTTGAGGTAACATATCTTGTTTTCAACTGTGAACGGTTGTTGCTCAATGCTTTAATTACTTGGTGAGTGATGTTCCAGAGTTCCATGATCCATGCATCGATTACAATTAGGATCCAGCGACTCTTTTCTTGATGACTCTTCCTTGTGACTTATTTAATACTTAATGCTTTTCTTATTGTTGATAACTTAACCTCGTAGGCTAGTAGTAGACTGAACATCACTGCTAGTTATATGTTTCCCCTTGAGAATTGATAGGTTAATTAGAATAAACATTCACGCTTTGTTTCTATGCTCGGTCACATCTTCAGGAGCTGAGTAGCAGAGGGTGAAGGAAAATTAAGCAAGCAAAGAGCGGCGTGGGCAGCACACTCGGCAATAAAGGATGACAAGAGTCCTTAATTTTTACAACTAGCTTGGAAACAACTAGAACTCGATTGTTGTTCAGCTTATGACAGCCTTCAACAAAGTAAAGCGTGTCACAATTTATGAATTCGCTTGTCTTTCTCTAAAGCTTATCTTCCAAATGAATAGAAAGCTGTTTCTAGGTTGGCAGGTTTGAAATGTAAAGTTGTTCAGAGCGTAAACCTTACTGCTGATTTTATATTATTTTGTGTTGCATCAATGGAATTTTTACCAAAATATAAATTTGCTTTCGTATGCTGCAACATGTTCTCTGTTATAGGCGTTCAAGTTATTGTTGAAGTTATGTGCGCTTTTCTTTAGCAATAATTAATGATGAAATTGGCTCCTTTTGTTCTGGACTTTTAACGTGATAAAAGAAAGGGAGCAGATCCTAAAACAGAAGCTTCAAGTGAAAAACGTGACAAGTAACACTGCATAAAACAACGACGAAATCTGATCTAAACAAATTCGGACGTTTAGCAGAGATGTGAAACTGAAATCGCGGAAATAACACTACTCAGCAAAATATATATATATATATTACTGAACGAGGGATATATACATATTACATGTTGATCACAGATTTTCTAACCTCAAAAAAATAGTTGAATACTCAAACTATCCTTCCACGCAGCAGCTTAACTCTCTGCTCTACATGTGCAAAGGAACACTCTTTCCTACATCGCATACTTTCCTGATAAACCAGACTATTCGTTACCAGCACAATGTGAGAGAACAAGTTGAACACAAGAAATGTCCTCCCTTGTGGAGACTGGACATAGATTTGACATGTCAGAGGCAGACCAAGCCAGTGAAGAACAACCATTTGCAAGTGTCAATCAAGTGTCTTGTAGGTCCGACTCCAGACATTGATATCTGACTGTTATTCGCTCGGGTATTATTAGTAGCATTAGTATTACTAGAATTGAGAAAGCAGTTATTAAAACCTGCAGAAACAGATAATAAATACTCTTATCGCTGTAATTCACTTTAAAGAACAGAGCTTATTGATTCAAAATCAACCTGGATTGGACTTACTTGGAGCAGTGGACGTGAGAGTGGCTGTATCTGCGAAATCACAGTTCTTGGGATCACGACCAGCGGTCTGATAATAGAGATTCATGGCATAAGCAGCATGAGCTTCAAGCGTGTCTGGTTGGAAACATGCCCCACCTTGTTGTATAGGGCCACAATCAATCCCATGTCCACAAGCGTAATTCAGATTTCCTTGCAACTGTGCAGCTGTTAATCCTGCTTTTGGCACACACCACACTCCACCTTTCTTTGTTGTCGGCGCTGCCGTCGGCGACGGCGTTGCTGTTGGCGTCGAAGTTGGACTTTGAGCAGCTTGAGATTTTGTCGAATTCTGGCTAGAGAGGCCAGCATCATAGGTCATGGTCAGGTCGGGCCTGAAAAGCCCAAATGATCGCTCAGAAGTAGTCCCAGGCTTCAAGTCCTCATCATATAACGCAAAAAGGTATGTATCTGGTGATTTTCCTGGCATTAGTGGTGTCCCAACCATAGAACGCAAGTGCGAGATCAAGTTACCGTTGTAAGCCTTGGCGTTCTCGATACTCGCACCAACCTCATTAGTGTCACCTTTGTACGGCCAACCAGTCTCAGCGACCACGATCTCAACGTTCTTAAACCCCATAGAGTTCAACGCAGAACGCACAGCATCCACCTGAGCATCGAACATGTTCATGTACTTGATCTTCGTGTTCGAGTCAAGTCGGCCTGAGTTGGGTTGGAAGAGGCAAAAGGCTAAGGTTTCGGGCCTGGGGTCGCTGGTGTACGCGAAGTAAGGGTAAGGATTGATGGCGAAAGGCGAAGCGTTGGCGTCGTTAAATTCCAACAGTCCCTTCAGCATGTTCGTCAAACCGGGTTGGAAGGCTCCGGAAGAAGGAGGTTCGGACTGACCCAGAACCGCCATGGCGTGAACGGTGGACACTTTGATTTTTCCACCCAGAGATGCGGAGTTAAGCGCGTCTTGGAGATTCTGCATCGCCGGCAATAATTGGTTTTGTAGATTCTGGTCGCCGAAGGTCAAGACTTCGTTTCCGACGGTGATGAGGATGATCTTGCTGGCGGGGTAGAAAGGGGTAACGTTGGAGTCGATCCAACTTTTGGCGGCGCTGGGTTCGGAAGCAAGAGATGGTATGTCGCTGTTGGCCGCTCCGATGACGATGCCTATGTCGGTGTGAGCGAGGGCTTTGATGATAGCGGGGTCTGTACCGTACAATCGGACTTTTTCGATGGAAGTGGATTGGAGAAGCTTGGCGGTGGCTGAGGGTGGTGGGAGATTGTCGGCGACTTCGCCATAGTTCACGCCAATGTATGATTCACAGCCTGCAACAACCATAAATTCAGACGGTCAATATAGCATCAAATATAAGGGAAAGGGAAGAAATTAAAAAAACTATCAGAATTAGAAAAGGGAAAAGAATTGGCTTTAAAACGAATTTTCAACTGTCACCTCTCTCCCCTGCATACTCACAAGTACACAAATCGCCCCTCTCTTTCTTAGCGGACAGAGCAAATGAGAGCGAATATAACTTCTGTTCCAAACCAACACCTCATAGTTCATAGCAAATTATTGAATATAATCCAGAAAGGGAAACTTTGGAATTTCGAATGAATATATAGTTAATAGAAGAAGCAAGAAAATACAGAGACGCAGAGATTGATTAGCCTAAAACAGGGTAAGCTTTGAGGGCAATGTTAAAGAAGATTCGGAGTAGATATATTGGATTGCATGAGGGTCGTCAGAAACTTACTTGAGAGGTTGAATGCGTGGAAGAGAGAAAGGAGCAAAAGAATTGCAGAAGGAGGGAGCGAGGCTGCCATGGAGGAAGAGCGCCCTTGCTTGCTTGTCTGGGGAGATTTGAAATTGGAAGAGAATATAAAGAAGGGCCGAACGGTGCTGCAGGTTAAGATAGTAAGCCTACCTTTTGGAAGACGACAACTGCGTCTGAAATCTAATAATCTTTGATCCCAGTAATCGTACTAAAAAGTTAGGTTGTCCATATTAACGTTTTATACTCCTTTTTTTTTTTTTACCACTACGTTTTATATTCCAATTAATCTATAGCAATGCAATCCCGGTGTATACTTTACGTCTAGTTAACTTGGTTATCATTGCTTACGTTACTCACTCTCCTGTCATCTTAAATGAATAAATCTTAAACTACATTTATCTTTCCATAAGTGTTTTCAAGTACATGTATCTCACGGTGTTTTTCTTCCCCTAAGGCTTGATATAACCTTCTGCATATTTTTTCTTTAATGGATGGCTATATTCCTCTATTAACATTTACTTCTCTTCAATATATTTTTTTTCCTCCATTGAATAGCATTGGTGCATTTTATTACTGTGTTGAGGAAAATTCTCGAGAGTGAGTGTCAATAGTGTTGTTTATTGCCTTAGTAAATTTCACATTCCATTTATCTTAGGATAATTTTTTTTATTTTTTATACCTGCCGTTATGTTTTATCAGGTTTTTTTGGGTGTGGTTTCATTTTTAATGCTCACTCTATTTCGTTGTATTTATCTTTTAAAGTTATTATTTCACGTGAATTAATAAATATGTGAAAATATTAAATATGACATGGTTTACCAAATTTGCTTATGACTCTTCTTATTTTAAATTATAACACACTTTCTAACAAAATTTTACATATTAATTAATCTCATTGAATACATTTAAAAATCATAATTTTTTCAAAACAAAAATATAAATTTTTAAAAATACTTTTCATTTTATATATTGAAAAGAAAAATGGACGAAAATTAAATATAAAGATAAAAAATAATATTAAAATAAGCTTATTTAACAAAATATTAATTTTTTTAAAGTATCTTGCATTTTGAAACTTTAAGTCTCTCCCAAAAATGTTCTATAATTTAAAACGATTGGAGTATTTAATACTTCTAAAAATATTACAATAATAATAAATAGTAAATTACTCTAATAATAAACATAAGAAAAGTATTATTACATATTGTTTTGGAATTTTTAAAATATATAATACGAAACAAAATTTTTTCTTCGAAAGACAAATGTAATGAAATAGAGGGGTTAATATATAATGTTTTACAGGAAATAAATGGTGCTGATGCATGCATGAACCTTATCCCAAAATACCACTCATGCTTTCGTTAAGAGGGAAAAAATTAAAGGTAGCGGGAGGATTATATAATTCAAAGCAATGATTAATTAAATTCCGAACAAGAAAGGCAATACCTACTCCGTCCCTCCTTATTTTCTATATATAAAGTAACTTTACCTAAATTTGGTATATCAATAAAAGTTTAATATTTAAATAAAATCATACAAAATTATAATAAATTTTATTTTTACCCCATTATTGTCACAATTAATATAATAGTGGTAGTGATTAAAGTACACAATTAATATCTCCTTTATTTTTTAAGATAAGGATAAAATATTATAACATTCATTATATTTATGAACAAAATAAGGACGAAAGGAGTACTTCAATTTAGATGTTGATAACTTGATACTCCCTCCAACCCAAAATATAAACAGATTTTAGAAAGAAAAAAAAACTCACATATCAATAAAGTTTTTATTTTCATAAAAATATATTATCTCAATTTTAAATTATAAGATACTTTTTATAAAAATTTGGCATTTTAAAATATAAGATATTTTGATAAAAATAAAATTTTATTAATGATATTTTTTTAACATTAACCTTATCATATATTTTCTCTCCTTGCTATTCTTTAACAAATAGAATATCAAATAAAAGATATTTTTAAAAGTTTGTATTTTTATTTTAAAAAATAGAGATATAAAATATATTTAGAAAGCTTTAATAATGTGTGATTTTATATAAAATTATATTATAATTTGAGATAGGGAAAGTATATCATTTTTCCGTTTACATATAGTTCTAATTCTTGTTATTAATGTACTTATTGATAAGTGATAGATATATTTATTCAAATATTTAAATTAATAAATATAATAGATAAAATAAAAAAAATACATGCATTACGTTATTTTTATTTGAATCAATATTGATTGATAAAAAAATTTACATTTTTAATTGGAAGGAGTAGATTAGAAATTACTATGCAACTTTTACTTCCATGTTAAGAAACAGCAATCCCTTTTTCTCGTGCAACATAAAGTTTGAACCACGAATAAAGTAAAGCATTTAATTTAGACCACGCCTTGAAAAGAAGCACCTTGTATTAATTAAAATTAAGAAGGGACCAAGTTCAACATGGAAGAACTTCACCGGAAGTTAGCATACTTCATGCAACAAATAAACTATAACGAAAATATAACTTTTAATTTCTATAATTTACTTGTGTTTTTGTTATAATTCCTGTACTTTTTTTATGTTTTAAATTTATACACTCTCATTTTTTTTATATTTTAAGTCCCTCTAAGATTTATACTTGGTTCGTTTAAAGATTTAGAATACTTAAAAATAAAAGTGCAAGGACATAAAATATTAAAAAAAGTACAGTGACCTATAATAAAATATGAGCAAAGTATGAAAATTAAAAATTACATTTTTTTTTAAAATATATTATTTTCTCATTTTAAATTACAAGATATTTTAGATGAGATTTGACATTTCAAAATATAAAATACTTAAAATTTTATTAATAATAATTTTTTAATATTACCCTTCCTATTATATTTTAATAGTATTATATCAATAAGTACTAAATGAATGATGGTTCTGAAATTTGTATTTTTATCTTGAAAAATAAAATCATAAAATGTATTAATAAATTTATTGAAAAATATTTTATAATTTGCAGCGGACGAAGTATAATAAAAGCATGCCCCACTAAGCTAAAGTACACTATTCACGTTAACTTTAAATGTAAAAAGCGTCCTCCTCGCAAGTTCAAACTTGCTTTTTCATTCGAACCAAAGCAAGGGCCTAGCCGTTCTGCTGGATTTCGGCAAATTTGCTTTGAGGCTTCAAAGGGCCAAAACCAGCACCAGCATGCCATACCTTTTTTAACTTTTTGAAAATTTCCCCCACAAACAAGTCAAATTAAATACAAATATTTTTGTACTCAATGGTGATGAGAAAAGCTAATGATGAAAAATGCATGAATGCTCAGTGTCCACTTTTAGTTTGGCTCCACCCTCAAAGTTTAATAGACAGAGCGAGAAATAAAGAAGGCATAGTGGTACCGTGTTTTCGAGGTGTTACGACGTACATCCCCTTCCCCAATAATTTGTCCACATTCACTACGACTCTCATTTCTTAATTCACAAGGCACACACCATGAAGTCTCGCCTAACCTAAATGATGTGTGTGCGTGTGTGTGTGCAAAAGGGGAAAAAAAAAAAGAGTTAGGAAACATGAAATAAAACTTTGAATTAATGAGTAGAAGATGATCGCACGCCGTACGACAACATTACCAAGTCTGTATCTTGATCGTTATTATTTAGCAAGAAGTCTTGCTCAACTAAAAACCATATCAAGAAAGCAAAAGTTTGAAAGGAATGGCCAAAGGGAAATCAGATCATGAATTTATATGCAGGAGATGTATAAGACTTGGCATTTGAGTAACCCATCACAAATGATGAATAATGTAGTGAAAAAATCGCATATAGCCTCTATGATTTTTAACTCAGGGAAAGAGCGAGTGATTGCAGAAGTGATAGTTGATACCAATTTAACTTGATTTGATGAATATAGCAAGTGATCTCATCTTTTTAAGGAAAAATTGTAAGCAAGCAATCACGTTAGCCCTTAAATATCTCGAAACATGTTACTTTTTATTCTTGAATATACTCATATATAAGAGTTAAGATTTATTTTCACTCATGAATTTGTTTTCAAAAAGTATTAGACATCTTATATTGATAAGTAAGGTAATTTTTTTTAAATCATTTTTTAGAAGGAAAAAAAAACTCTCCAATTAAAGTTAATATGTGATTGACAGAAAAGTTTTTTGTTTATTAAAAAAATGGTTTAAGAGAAAAGTTGCTTCATTTGTCAGTACATGATACTTAGTGCCCCTCGAACAAAGTTTAGAAATTAAAATATATCTTAGCTCTATGATCTAAAGGAAAAATTGACTATCAGTGCATCTAAAACAAAACTTTTGTGTTAACAAGTAAGAATGATTGGTTATGTCTTATGAAACAGAAACACACGTACACGTATAGACAGCGTATACTCTATAAAATTTGGTACATAAATTTAAAATTACATAAATATCTTATATACAAGTTTTATTTTAAAAATGAAATTCACCTCTCATGCGCGCACATGCTCGTTTACAGAGAACAACATGCTTTCTATATCAGGTTTAATATGCCACCTATGTCTGAAGAAAATCTTGCCTAAGGATTTCTGTAGCTTTTTAATGATAAAAAAGGGCCTAATAATTTTAAAATATCACTACAACCCAGGACCTAGTTGAAAATAAGACTTGGTGTATGGAAAACACAACAAAATGAATGTCTGCCTGTTAATAACGTGCAATTACTTGTCAATATTTGAGCGATTACTTGTTTACACTTGTTATTTATGCATGATTATTTATCAAAACCTAAATGGTTATTTGTTTTATGTGAAATATAATAATTCCATTCAATCCAAAATATAATTTTTTTTCCTCAGCTAATCTTGATTCAGAATATAAGCAATATAGCGTGTGGAAAAAAAAAAATCACTTCATTCTGCAACATAAGAATATTAACGATGTTGGCCAAAAAAGAAAAGGACAACAACGATAATATCACCCGCAACATCGCATTCACTATTTATCTTAAATTACATTAGATATTTTGATATGTTTATATTGATATATTTTTTAAAATTTGAATCTAAATGTTGAAGCATAATGTGTAATTATTTATTATATACTTATCAAATCTATAATCTAATTATCAAATAAGGATAATGATAAATCGGATTGCGGCATCAATTTTGACTATAAATGGATGCTATCACCCTCTACGCGTTACTTACGATCTCTCAAAGTCTCAATACTAGAACGAGTGATGCAGTGCCCCGATGGAAAGATTGCTTCGTGTATTTATCTTCAAGCCGATGCCGTTGCCCCGGAGGTTCTCTCGCCGTTCTGGTTTTTCCTGCGATGGACTCGGCGGCACCGTTCGAAGCCGCCAAGATTGGCACGACCTAAACCAGGAATTCTTTAAATTATCCAGTCACGTATAACGCAATTTCAAACATCGAAGCCTTCCCGAATTTGGAGCCCGTAATCTGTTGGTTTGTGGTTTTTCACCTCACGGAAATACGATTTTTCTTAGGTACTGATCGGATCTTGAAGGCTGATATCCGGCATCTCGTGTTCTTGTGCGTATGAGAGTCGTCCTCGACGATTAACGCCATTATCGGTGGTGTTAGCATAGGCAAAGGATGAATTTACAAGATTCTTGTTTGTGAAGTTGATAGTTGGAGGGACAGATTGGTTTGATTTCAGAGGACCGCGAGAGAAGTTACAGTGAAGGCGAGGTGTGTGTTATGTGGTCCTGAACTTAATTTATTGATTGTAGGCCTTTGCCATGACGGGTGCGCTTGCATGGCAATTCAATACTTAATAAAATTTCATTTTCTGGGGTTGGAGGGGGAGATGCTGCGGCCGGTTTTTGTTCTTTGTTTTTGCGCCGGCCTGCTCTTCCCCTTCTTGGTGGTGCGTGTCTCTCTTCGTCATCCTTCTCCTCCACTTTTTTTCCCCCCGGCGCTTCTTCTTCTCTACGTTGTACGTACGCCTCGTAATTTTCCAGTGACTTGTTTCAAGACGAAAACACGAAACAATTCGCATGTAAAATCATGTTCGAAGCAAAACCAAGCAGATCCAAAACCGCGCGACACATGTATACCCAATAACCAACTGATTGACAAGAGCATACGTGTCCAGTCCGTGCCTGAACAATTGGATAATGAGAAATAAGGAATAGACTTTGCCAATGGGAGGCACATGGGCCTTCCCGCCAAGATGTGTAATGTGGGGGCAAGATGGTGTGAGATTCAGAAGCCCAAACCGCCATTTCAAAGCCTATAAAATAAATAACAACGTTATATTATTTTTTATTAGTTATTGTAAAAAATATAAAAATATTATCATAATCAATAATTACGCTTATGAAAACAAGTTAGCGGTAGGCCATTCTTAAACAAACAAATATTATTAATTAGGCTTAAGCCAGGGCGGTTGCGCCATTCTTAAGCAAACTCCGATCACAACGGCTATTTCAAATCACCGACCTTCGCCGTGCGGGTTTGTCTCAGGCGAACATGCATGCTGGGAGCCTGGGACGACCGTGACCATTCGGTTAAGGCTGTTAAATAAGGTGACGTGGTCGGACAAGCGAGCTCTGTTGGAAGGCACAATAGGAGCCACGGGGCTGCAGAATTGTGCCGACACGATGATTGGACACTGGCATCTCCGAGGAATCTGTGACCGAGAGAAGAGCAGAGTTAGCAGCGCTTTGGAGATCTTGATGAGGCCCAGGTTGCTCTTTCCCGATGAGCCTACCAGTGGACTTGACAGGTTGGTTTCATGCTTTTGCCGCCTTCTTCTGGATTTCTGTATGATTGGAATATTTTGAGCAAGTTAATTTGTCTTTCAGAAAAAAGAAATTAATGGAATTTCGTTATTTCATTTTAATGTGCTTGATAGCTACATTTTGATGTAAACTTTACTATACAGTTAATCCTCTGATTACTTCATTGACTTGGCTTTAAGAAAACCATTATAACAGTAGGATTCTATTCTCTAAACACAACAGTTACCTCAGTTCATTAACAAAAATTGTTACCGAGTTGATCAACTGGCATTTTCATGATTCCTTTTTTTTTTAAATATATATATATATTTATATTTATCATTTATGTCTCTTTTTGTCTTTGCATAGCTATAGCCTCGGTGGTGCATGATGGCCTCTCGAGAAAAATGCTAAAAAATATTATGCAAGAATTCCCAGGGTTACCTGTCTGCTATCCCTCACAGTTAGAGAAGGATGATCCCAAACTTTATGCTAATAATCTTGAAGTTTGATGGCTACTGAGGTATGAAAACTCAACTAATGCATGACATAGAAAGTTCAGGAAGCCATTCATATCAGACCTAACACTTTACCAGCATGTGTCTATTCTGGTTTTTTTATTGTGTACATAGGTCCTTTATGCTTATTTTACTAATACCTTCGGATTTGCAAGCATTTTGGCAGGATATGGATAGTGGTCTATTCTATAGCTCTCACAATGATGTGTTTGCCTGTATGGACTTTTTTTTTTTGCCCCCTTAACTTGCAATTCAATTCTCTGCGTCCCTGATTACATCCTATGTATTCCTGACTCCAATTCGAGAATGAATTGGTTGTGATGGATTTATTATGTACATTAGATTTTTTAAATATCTTTTTCCATTTCCATGTCCTCGTTGTGGAAGTTAAACATTTGAATGAGAGAGAGAGTACCGTTAATTTCCTGTCATTAGCAGATACTTCGCTTAATGGGGGAGTGGAATTGTTAGACTGTGTATAAATACTTGATTTGAATCATTTGGTATTTCCCGCAGTTTCACTCTAAACTTTCATATAATTGATAAAATGATATAAAATTGTAATAACGTGTAATACTTCATCGTGTTTCTTTCACTTCCATTCAGCAAAGAGGGCGCCAACCTCTTTTTCTGAACTATAAAAAGCTCCGGTTGGAGATTGCCAAACTCCTGATTTCTCGTCCATTGTATTCTTGTCATGGCTTCCATTCTGTTTTCCCCCTCTCTGCACCAAGAAGCATAGCCTAATGGCGAATCCTTATATTATTTAGGAGTGTAACATCTGTCGATGCTAGCTTGATATTGTTTATGTTTTGCTTGCAGGGTAATTTGATACTTTCAGATATTGGGCTGGCTGAAAAGCGGACATACTTTAAGGGTGTTTCAGGTGCTTATTGGTGCACGTGTACAGTATAATACTTTTTATAATATGCATATTCTTAACCCACCCTCCTCAGGGGGCCTCTCTTCCAATCCCCTACTCTGCATGGTTCTCCATACTAATTGCAGAGGATCTTCTGGAAGCTGAGTTGATACATAAAATGTTCAAGAACACGATGGTCATAATATATTGCATTATTTTAGGGGGAAAATGAAAGAATTATCTGTACTGTTTTTCAAATTTGACTGCAGTTAAAGTTGTTTGTTCTGCTGTATTAGTGGTATCTCTTGATTGTTATACTATATTAATTGATTTAGTTTCTATATTGCCTTAGGATCTCCATTCCCTTTCAACTCTTGGGTACAGGCTAGCTCTTTCTCATGTGTCATGTCTAAAGCTGCCGCGGCCGTTCTTTTTATGCATACCAACTTACCTTTGTCAGTAGAAGTATTTGTCTTGAGGTTTCTGAGTGTTCTAGGCTGAGCTTGAACCTAGGTTTTATTTTGCCATTTTTTTGCGGAAATTTAGGTCCATAAATTATCAGGGATGACTAAAATACTGGCATTTCTGCCTGGAGGTGTTGTCACTGAAAGAATTCACGAAGCTGTTCCCCCTATGTTGCTATTCCCAGGTTATTATCCTGACTATTTCATGTTTTCTGGGTCAATTTAGCTACCCTTGGCATACAGATCTAAATCAGTTTCGTAGAATAGGATTAATTTCTTTTGTAATGCTTTACCTTTCTGCTAAAATTATCTGATGATTGATCTGTGTCCTACGGAATAAATGTGCTATGTGTCTTGGTTTTCATTGGTGAACATTATTGACTATTCCTCAGGCTTGTGATCCAGAAGGGGAACTATTTTCCGCATTTGTCTTTTTCCTAATCTTTTCAACTTATGAGTTTTAATTTATGTTTATTTCTTAGTCACTCCATATCTCTTCTTATCAATAATTTATTTATTCATCTAAAAAGAAACTTCATCTCTCATTTGTTTATCTTTAAACTAGATGGGTGAGCTCTTTCGTCGCATGGAGCATGATGAATGAGCCATGTTGCTTGACTTGTGAATAATACGTGCCATGGATTTACTTTATATTGATACTACTGTAAACATTAAATTTCTAATTTATTATGTTGCTGGTGTGTGAAATATCTGGTGTCTTTGGTAGCACTTGTCACATTATAATCAAATATGTCCAGAGGCTGACCCACGTTATGGTTGTGGGGGCCTCTTCCATGTATTTATGGGGTTGTTATTTGTTAACGCTCACAAGAAACATCGCTCCTCTATAAAATATGAAAAGCGAAACATACTAGTATATTATACACATACCTATACAATACATATTGTGTGTGTTTATTTGTGTTTTTATTATTATATTCACATAAAGATATAGTATATATTTTATTACTTTCTAATTTTATATATAATTCACTTTCTAGAAAAAAATGATTGTCCTTTTTATAAAGTATATCACTTTACAAAAAAAGATAGATCATTAATTACTATTTTTTTTACCTTTTTACAATTTTTATGAGTAGGGTAAGATGTTACAAATACGAGAGGAAATATTTTTAACAATAATGTGTTTGATAAGGTAAACTGAGGAATTTCTTTTTTTTATAGATATCATTAATAATTTAACTATTAGTTAAAGTGAGGATAGTGATAAAGGATAGCATTGAGAAATGACTGAGGGGGCTAGCTTCATCAAAATTGCTTTTAAATTTTTGTTATAATTATTTTGTAAAAATAAATTATAAAATTTAAAATGCCATTAAATCATAGGTATGCATAATAACATGCTAAAATACAATACCAAATCATACCATATATCTAATATATCACTTTTTTAAATTATATATAAAATATGTTTGTGTAAGTTCTTTTATTTTTAATTAATTTTTATATGCCATTATATATTGTTGATTTATATATATATATATATATATATATAAGAGATCTTCAAAATTTATAAAATTATAATTTAATATACATACTTTAAAACTATATGTGTTTAACTTAGTTAAGTTACTCTTATTAGTATCAATTTCAAATTGAACAAAAAATAAATAATATGCTCATGCAAATGCTCAATTTTATAATATTTGATTATAAATAATTTAGTTAAAAAATTACACTTATAATATAAACATCTAGTATCATTTGTTGTTAATGAAACATTAATTTTGGTAATAACAGTATTTTAATAAAATACTCTTTTTAATCTTATATGTCAGTCATTTCTCACTATCCTCACTTGAACTAGTAGTTAAATTATTAATATTTTCTGCGAAAGAAAGAAATTTTTCTGTTTACCTGATCAAATATGTCTTCTTTAAAAATATCTCCTATTACATAATTGACATCTTATCTTACTCATAAAAATTGTAAAAGAGTAAAATTAGAAGAAAAAAATAATCAATGATCTATCTTTTTTTTTGTAAAATGATATACTTTATAAAAAATATCAAAAGGTGAATTATATATAAAAGTAGAAAGTAATAAAATATATGCTATATTTTTACATGAATATAACAATAAAGACACAACAAACACACATAATATGTATTACATACTAGTATATTTGGCTTTTCATATTTCATATAGGGGAGATGTTTTTTGCAAGGGGTTAATAAATAGCAGCCTTATAAATACATCACCCACCCCCCCCCCCAAAAAAAAAAATCATAACATGGGTCCGCCTCTGGTTTTTTGGCAAGTGCTCTGATACTTTCTATGATTCTAAAACACTCTTACCAGAGATTTAGTCCTGCCGCTGTGGTGAGTGGTTATGATGTTTTAGTTTTATTGTACTTCATGAATTTCCACAATGAGAACTAATATAGCAACTAGCATCTTTAAAGTTATGTTTTGCTTTGTGGGTCACGTTTTGAGGCTATGGTTTTGCGTTGGCTTCAACATAAATCAAAGCTGCGTTTATCGTTTCTTAAGCCTTATTTTATGTTGAATTTTGATGGTATGCTTGAATCTTCAGCAATTTTGAGGGAACCAGTGATTGGTACTCTATTTAACTTTTCTAAACTTGGAGGTGGGAAATGTCAGTAGTGCCGATGAAGAGTTAGTCTGCCACAATTGAAGGTTAAAAAGGCGGTGGGAAATGTCACGGTCTTCTCATCTGATCATATTAAAATTATAAATTTCCATTAATTTTAGCGGATTTTTAAATATTTATTTTGTTTATATTACTGTTTACATTCACACATCCCACTTGAACTTTTCACTAAAAATTTATATGTTGATATCTTCTTGACAATAATATGTCTACTTTAATTTATATTAAATTTACATTGGTTAAATAAATGTAATTTTTGAACTTCTTTTTGCTTGTTTCACCTTTAGTGGTCATTGTCTTCTCTTCTGGTCATATCAAAATGGCAAATGTAGTTTTAGTAGAGTCCTAGGCATTGTCCTCACATTTACGTTGTTTAGATTGAGTGATTCGTGTTGGTGTAGAGTGGATGCGAATCTGCATTAGCTAATCGTGTGGCATTATGGGAGATCCCGCCTAATCTGAAAAAATGGCATTGTTCAAGGTGATTAAGTCTGTGGTTTGGATAGGGTGATTTTTATGACATGAAGGAATGAACAATGGAGTATTGATGAACTCATCATTTGTACTCAAGGTAATTGTTACAGATTATTGGGTGCTCCATTGCAATTCTTGGATTGCTTTTGCACTATCTATCACGTTCCTTGATTTTCATTTCCATTAATGTCAAGAGACATTGTCCTCTCCTGTCCATGCAACGCATCATTGCCTTCATTAGGATGCTATGTTTTCAAATTGGGCTTTTTCTACTTTAGTGCTCACGGTCTTTACATTTGGTCATATTAAAATTATAAATTTCCATCAATTTTAGTGGATTTTTAATTTTAATATTACTTACATTTTTCATTATACCTAGTCAATTTTTTTAAAATTTTTTATTTTATTATATTTATTTTGCTTATATTACCGAGATCTACCACTTGAACTATTCATTAAAAATTTATATGTTTGATATCTCGTTCACAATAATAAGTCTATTTTAATTTATATTAAAATTAAATTTTTTAAATAAGAGTAATTTTTGAACTTTTTTTTTTTTTTGGCTTGTTTCACCTTATGCTCACGGTCTTCTCTTTTGTTCATATTGAAATGGTAAATTTCCGATAGTTTTAGTAGTCTTAGACATTATGATGTACAATGGGAAGGAGGGAAGAGAAAGAGAAGGAAGAGAGAGAAAAAATTATAGAAATTATATTTGATTTGATTTAAATTTTATTAAAATTTGGTTTAGGATTTATTAAGATTTGATTTAGTATATATTTAGGGATTGATATTATTTTTTAAGTATCTTAGATTTATTTTATATTTAAGTATTATCTCATATAAAATAATCTTAATTGTCCTAATCAACCATTATTCCATATTCCATCCACATTTTCCTAACATCTTTACGTTGGTTAGATTGAGTGATTCATGTTGCGCGTAGAGTGAATGCTACTTGTGTGGCATTATGGGAGATCCCTCCTGATATAAAAAATGGCATCGTTTAAGGTTTTGATTAAGTTTGCGGTTTGATTAGGGTGATTCTTATGACATGAGGAAATGAACAACGAAGTAGTTGATGAACTCATTATTCCTGCTTAAGGGAATTGTCATATATCGGATGATCATTTGCAATTCTTGGATTGTTTATGCATGATCAATCTCTATGTGTTCCTCAATTTTCATTTCCATAAATGTTAAAAGACGTCGTCCTCTCCTGTCCATGCAACGCATCACTGCTTTATTAGGTTGCTATGTTTTAAGGTTAGGCAGTTTCCCTTTAATGCTAACAATTTTCCCATTTGGTTTACATGATTAATATCCTTTGGTTTTAATAATTATTAAATGATTGTAATCCTTATTACCATGGTAGATGTAGCGTCTGTTTATTATTGTTTATTTTAAATTACAAATTATAAGTTTAATTTTGTTAATCATAATAGATTTTCGACCTGAGTTTTTTTTTAACTATGGCTAGCTTTTTTAATTGCAGTTAAGCTTTTTTTACTATAGTAAGGTGATTATGATAGTTGTTCTCTAATTATCATGATAATGTATGGTATTACAACTAAGGTAGTGGAGTAAATTAAGCAATATTACACGGTGTCCAAAATACAACTCTTATGCCATTAGCCGTAATCAAGGCTTGAACTACACTTAACAGACTAAAATACAATAATCAAAATACACATTATTGAATACAACCAAAATTAATCAAACATGTTATCTAAAATACACTAAATATAATTAATCAAAATTAACAAAATCACTTGAAATCGCAATTTGACAATCCCCACCACAACATCCTCATATCAAACACATTATCTAAGGCTAAGATGCATCAAAGTACATGTTTGTAAATCAATAGTACTAAATCAAAATAATGATAAACCTAGTCAAAAACAAAAGGCATAGAATTTCATATTTTCATATGTCAAAATATCCTTTCAAAATGACAAAATCCATAAATAGACCAAACAAGCAAAATGTAATAATCTAATTATCTCAACTATTTTGTTTACCAGAACTCAACCTTCTTCATGAGTAACCCCCTTTAACTATCCATTAGTTTCATTAAACCTCTATTAGATAAATAAGTCTATTTTATAGCTTTTATTGTCTTATATTATCATTCCCACTTGTAGGGTTTGTCTAAAAAGGAAAATTCACTCATGCAACCTAAGACAAACCCTAACCTTAAGTTTAGAGCCACAAAATAACAACTAACAGCTCCCTTGAAACCTAATTGGTTTAGTCAAAATACTCCCAAAACCAAAATCATCATCATCCACTCAAACTTATCCCAAAATTTCATGTAGGGAGGGAGAGGATGAGACATGCAATCGTGGTATTCTATTCTAAAAGAACTGAGGTTGGGCTATACCAGACTTAGCTTGATCCATAAGATTAGAAGATCTAAGCAATTCAATACCTCAATTTGTTTCTTTTTTTCCTTTTCTCCCATGGGAGGATACAATTCAACTTAATTAATTCAATTAAGACAAAAAATACTTATAATTATAATTCTCAACCATATAAAAATTGAGAATTATCTTATCAAGCAAGCAATATTACATACGATAATAGTGTAAAT